ATATTGTTTCTTTTCTGTTTCCAGAAATTTCGAGCTGAAAATTTCCTCGTGAAAAGAGGTTTTTTTTTTTGTGAAAAATAGTGCCCAATAAGAAATAAAATTAGAATGTAAAAGAGAATAGAAAAGTCAGAGGATTACATGTTCAAAACTCCCCAAAGGAAGAATCAGGAAATCGTGAAAACCAAGAGACCTTGTTATCCTGTCCTTGAAAGTCCTTGGAAAACTTCTCATGAGTCCTTGAAAAGTTGTTCTAAAGTCCTAGCAAGCCCTCGATTTTTCTAATTGAACATATCCATGGTGCTTTAAAATGAATCAAATCAAAATTAAGTATGAAGGGCACATCCTATGTCTACGGTTTCCCTTTCGACGTAATTCAATTCCGCATAGTTCTATCCAGCAAAAATACGTCCAACAGTCGGAACTTTTTCAAAAGTCGATTATCGAAAATTAAAGGACCGTTCACAAAGTACATAACGTAAATTTTTTCGAAACGTTCGACCCGCCCTCCCCTCTTCAAACGCTTTTGCGACGTAGGTCCCTATCCTGTAACACGTAAAAACGAAATGGCGTAAGCTCTATCCTCGACCCTCCCTCCCCCCTAGAGCATTACGTCTGACGTTATGACGTCTTACGTTATGAACGTCTCCTGAAACTCCGCAAATTTAGCCATGAACCTCCCTTTAAGTCACAGCCACCTAGAGTCCCTTTATACTGAGAGTCAACACAATTTGAATCCATTTATGATTGGTTCCCGTATTTTAGGCCTCCACAGTGTCACAAACGGGAATAAAGATTACATTTTCACCAATTGCAAAGATTATAATCTGGAATGGACCAGGGAATTACGGGTTCGGCAAGGAACAAACGGAATGAGAGGAGGGACGGAGAAAGGCATTTGAGAATGGGCCGATCAAAGATTACGAAAAACGTTCAATTTCTGTAATCTTTATTCCCGTTTGTGACATCCATGAGCCGAATTGTCGTGACTCTCAGTATAAAGGGACTCTACAGCCACCCTGGTGGTTTTTTACTCGACGACGAAACAGAGCGGCATCCCTGCGGGACGGGGTAGCGGCAAAACGCTGCGGCTTCTGGCGCCACGGTGGCTCCCTCGGCGGCGGGATCCAAAACCCGCGGAATATAGGATAAGGGGCCGGAAGCATCCNGGGGGGGGGGGGGGGGGTGAAACCCACTCGACGGGCTCCGCGGACTCGACCGTGCTTTGTCTCTCGCCATTGATTTTGATCTCCTTATAAGGTTGATGACGTCGCCTTTTTTTCCCTCCTTTTCGAGGACCCCTCTCGATTCCTCGCGCCCACCGCAGCGCCTCTGGTTCCTCTCACGTGGCTGTCGCGGTGTGGTCTACGAAGAGTGCCCCCCCCCCCCCCCCTTTTCTTATATTACGAAGATACTCCAAAAATCAGGGTGGCAAAATTTCGTGAAAAATAAAATCTTGAAATTTCACGTGAAATATTTCATGAAATTTCAGAAATTTATGAAAGATATTGAAAAATACGAGTTCCTTTTATGTTTCGAAGGTTGTAAAAATCTTAATTTTCTTCTGTTTTTGGGTGTTTGAGTGCGGGTTGCATACTTTGGCCCCTGAAAAATATGAAATATTCTACAGCCTCGTGAAATTTCACGAAATATTTCACTGAAATTTCCAATCTTTCATTTCTTTCTTACGTTTCATGCCACCCTGCCCCCCTGTCTCTCATTCGGTCGTTACGTTACCGACAGTGTCCCTTAGGGATGCGGATTTTGAGAGGAAAATCGATTATAGCCCAATGGATCGAATTCGATAGTGGTTTGATGTATGTGGTTCGAAACAGCAGATCATAACCTCAAACCAAAATTTTAGGATATTTGTCAGAAAAACTGAAAATTATAAATTTCGCAGCAATTTCAAGCGGCTTCTCCCCCCCCCCTCCACCGGTGCCCCCTATCTTTCTTTCTTTCTTTCGATCGTTACTTTCCCGACATTGTCCCTTAGGGTTGCGGATTTTGAGAGAAAAATCGATTATAGCCCAATGGATCGGATTAGATAGTGGTTTGATGTATGTGGTTCAAAACAGCAGATCATAACCTCAAACCAAAATTTTAGGATATTTGTCAGAAAAGCTGAAAATGAGAAATTTCGTAGGAATTTCACTACTCTTGACCAATTAGTACTCACACGAATCAAAAATATAGCACCAAAAACCCGTTCCGTCAGATTGCTCAATTGAGTTTTGATGCTATGTTTATGTTTTGAACCAAACGATATCGATACAATCCCACCCGTTTGATGTATCGAATACGATCGGTCGATTTCCGTGCAACAATCGATTTTTCCAAGTATGAGGACCCCTCAATTTTAAACTTTTTCTAAATGATGGACTAAAATTTATTGCAAACATGAATCAAGAATTTTCGCGAAAATGTTTCATTGCTATATCTAAGAATGCCTTAAAGAGCTGATTTTGCAATAGTTGATAATTTTTCTCTGATGGAGGATATAGTATAAATATAGATTTCAAAGTAAGAAAATGCACCGCCTAAAATCTGGTGACATTTTCTATATGAACACCTGCTTTCTAGCAGATGAGATCCGATTAGATGATTTTTTTGATCATTTTGTCATATTTCCTTCAGAAATTGTTCAATTTAAGAAGCAAGGGTATTCCGGTGTCCAATTCACTCAGTAATTTCCACTCGAATACGAAATTCATCAAATTTCAGACACCTGCAAAATCTCAATTTACTCAAAAGTTTTTCATGAGCATTTCATAATTTTCTCTCTCTTTACTGTGTTCTCCGAAGAAAGTTCAAATGCTGTTTTATTCATGTATGAAAATAAAAAAGACAAAGATCCTTTATGCCCCTCGGAGAAATTCACAAAATACCAGCAATACCAACCTTGAAACTTCAGTTTTCAATCACATTTTGTCCCGATCTTCAATTCAAGCTTTAACTAGAGAAAATTCGTCGCAAATAAAACGGAATTTTTTTTTACGGTTCCTCAGAATTTATAGGTGAAAGTAATCGTGTGCCCTTCCAATCCCGCGTGCTTCATTTCTAATGGTTTCCTATCAGCGTCACTACCGTAAGAGGAGTCGCCCGAAGAACGACTCTGAAAAATAATTTACTGGCTACAAGACATACCGTCCGTTCCGGGCTTAGAAGCCGGAAGTTCGGGGTGCTAGAGCCGTAGCCTCGACTACTCAGGCTGCTACGCCCGGAACTTTCGGCCTCTGAGCCCGGAACGAACGATATGTCTATGTATGCCGTAAATACGGCTTCCACGGGTGGAGTTTTTTTTTCAATGGAGGAATGAGCGTATTCATGAAGCTATACTGATACGCCACGAATCCATCGAAATTTTCCCATTTAAAGCTGTGGTAAAAAATCGAGTTTTAAGGTGTTGGTCGTTAGCACCCTGATAATCGATCCACTTCCGTAGCTTTATATGTGAGATCCAGTGGCGTGGGGTGAATTGCGATGTATCGATTGTTATGTCATTTAAACCTACGGTAAATAATCGATTATTAAGGTGTTCGCTGCGAACACCCTGTCTATCGATCCTTTTCCATAGGTTTAAATGGCATAACAGTCGATGTATCGCAATGGACCACTAGACAAGGTACGAATTTCAGCATTCTGATACATGTTTCTTCATCAAAATTTCACGTAAAACATGATGCGCACAACAAAAATTACCGAGATCAACTCCTTACAAAGATATTTAATGATTCCTGATGCGTGAATTCTAACCACCCGCACATTAAAACTCAATGCTCTACGTGATTCACATGGCGCGCTAAACATTATCATGATAGTCTCTGCGATATAAAAATCTGGCAACCTCAGTCTTGACGCTTTGGCTCAGCTATAGCAAATTGCTTATAGTTTGAACGACACGATGGGAAATGAACATTGCTCGATTGAGAAGCTTGCTGAAACCGTTGTAGTGCGCGATTTGACTCACGTATAGCTTTGAGTTTCTCGTGAGCGGGCAGTTCAAATTCCTCGTAACAAATGTGAAATAAAAACGTCAATATCTTCGTTAGGAGTTAGTTTCAGTCATTTCCGTTGCACGAATCGTGTTCTGCGTGAAATTTTGGACAAGAAACATGTATCAGATTGCTTAAATTCGTACCTCGTCTAGTGGTCCATTCACGCCACGCCACTGGTGAGATCAATCTATTCATCGCAACCACCCAACGACTCCTCGCTGAAACGTGGAGAATGAGGCATCAGAAATGCCAGTCCGGAAAAATGACAGGAAAACAAAGTTACATGGATTCTTTCGAACGAACAAATCGTGGCTACACTCACCAAAGGACGTATCCCGATTTCGACGTGAGCTCTGTTTTACCCCTGAAGCCCTGCTTTCTGGAGCTCATGCGGAAATCGAGATAAGCCCCTACGGCAGAGGAGCAACAAAACACGACTCGCCTCTTTTTATCGTAAGCATTTCCGCATGATCGGCTTTACTGACAGTGAATCACCTTTCGATGTGTTGCGATCGAGTTATCACGGGCTAAAGTCGACTGTCGGTTTTCATTGCACGATCTGTAAGTTCGGTGCCCGTGATGTACCTGATTGGGGGGAGGGGGGGCTTCGTAAGCAAATTCCCCAGATTTCAACACGATCGGTAGCTGAAATTGGACAGGGAAAAGAGCGTTTGACAGTTCATAGGGAAGGACATGACAAAATACCTTTTCCACTGTTAGAATAGTGATAGGATGGGATTTTTTTCCCCTCTCTCCCCCCCCCTTTCTCTCACTCTCCCTCTCTTTTTCTCCTATTTATTGATTTTTTACGGGTGCTTCTCGCTGTTTAAAATTCACGTCGGATGACGTCATTCACCGCGGTATTGCGAGTCGCGATTTCTCTCACCATGGCACCTGTAATCCAATATGCGAAACGAAAAGATCGAGACGATTAAGCTTAAATTCTGTTCTCGTTTAAAAATAGACTTTTAATGAACAGGTTCAAAAATTAAATATGGTCGCTTTGTTAGTGTCTAGGTTATGCTTATATTTTGGCTGTTATTGTTCGGTTTAAAACATGAATGAACAAGAAAATCCATGTTTTTGAACGGTTAGCAAGATAGACGAAAAAAAAAACACAATAAGGAAATAGAGCACGGGAAAGGAGGCGCGTTGATGAAGGCGCTGAGATACAACTATTCGTGCCTGATGGATGTCCGTGATGCGTTTTTCAAAATTGAAGGCGCGATGGAGCGAGGTGCGAGCTCGCAATGTTCCGCTCCATGCCGCCAATGCTCTGTCACTCAGATTCGGGAGAATAGTTAAAAAAGGAAGTCCGATAACGTCTTTCCTGTTTTTGGCTGGGTTGCTTCCGCAGCCCTTGAAGCGCCACTACAAATAAGACAAACGAAAATAGACACAATAGGAAATAGAATAAAGAAAGGATGCGCGCTCATAACGGCGCAGAGATACATCTATTCGTGCTTGATGGATGTCCGTGTTGCGTTTTCAAAATTGAAGGCGCTACGGCGCGAAGCGTAAGCTCACAATGCTCCGCTCTATAGTGACAATAGAGAATATTTTTTTTCGCAAAAACTCGATAGCGCTTCGAAAAGAAGTCGATATTGGATCAGCTGTTCGTGTTCCCCTTCGATCAACTCCACTTTGCATTGCTCGATTTTAGTTTTCTAAAATTTATTCTGTGCGTCTTACTCTTGTGTAAACAGTCACTAACTTTTCGTCTTAAATTTGTGATTCGTTCATCGTGAAATTTTCCATTTGTGACTGCCACTCAATGCTCTCTGTAGCCCATGCGTAACAGCTTCCCACCGAATGGCCACGATTTGAAATCCTCCTATTTTGCAGGTTATTGTTCTAATTACAAATCCTTTTACAATATTAAAATCTCAACTAAAGTGGTTGGGAAAGGGTCGCGTTTCCCTAACTTCTCCAGATGCAAGACGTTTCACAACTTTAGTTTTTGACCAATACATTTATTTCCAATTGAATAATCGGTGTGTCTAAGTTTCGTTCCTTTGGCATTGTTCAGATTCTGCAGGTTTCATGCCGTGTGAACTCGTAAAAACTTAATGGCACAACGAAAAGGTTCCGTCTTTGCAATCGTGATTCTGCAATAAGACTGATTCTTCTTTTTAAAGGGCATGGCTGGGTAATGGCTCTTTGTTATCACGTAAATTCCTCGAGCTATTCTAAACTATAGATTATGTTTCAAAATAATGGCGAACAGTTGGGAAACTAACAAATGCTCGAGTAGTCAAGTGTTGGGTTCTCTAATACATAAGTGTTGGAGTAACTTAGCTATTAACATGACTTTCATTAAGAGTATTACAGTAAGTTTTAACACTAAAAGTATTACTTACAGTCAGTTTCAACACTAAGAGTATTACCCATAGTCAGTTTTATCTATTAGACAATTTTTCTTGTAGACACTTAGCAATTTTAGGAAGAGTTCTTTCTTTTTCACTTTAATTAATTCCGATTTTTGGAAAGCTCACGTGGTTTTCTTTTTTTTGGGTTTAGCACGAGTTTTACAACTGAATTCACCGAAACCCATTATATGCCTATTCAACTTCATAAAGTATTCTGTGTATTTTACTAGCTGAATTCTTTGAGTTTCGTAGAATGATTCATTCTAGTTGTTCAAATGGATTATGGTAGGAAATCCAGCTTCAAAATCAGGCTCCATAATTCATTTGAATACATGACATTTAAAATTATTAAAATTGCGAATTGAGCGATTAAAAACACGAAGTCTCAATCTGCCTTCTGAAAAGTCGATAAAACAATTTGATTTTCGTCTAGAACCTCTCGTTCGAGATTGAAAATCCCAAAGAGTGTATGAAAGCCGTTAACTGCAAGCGTGCGATCAATCCTGTTTGTTTTTCTCTCGCTCTTATTTTTATGATGCGTTAGTGCTTTGCAAGTCGAAGACTACAAAAAAAAAAGTATTCGAAGAATTCGTATAATCAATTGAGGAAGGAGGGAATGGAAAAGTGAAAATACTCAAATTATAGGCATGATTTCTGAGGGAAACTGCATCGTTCGCACAATTCCGGAAAATTTAGCACTCTCTATCTATTTACTTAATCCCAACAGTTTTCGGCACCTGAATTTCCTTTCCTCGTTTAAAACTTTAGTTAATCTGCCCATCAACTCAAGGTTTAGCGTTTGACAATCAGCTGCATACGGCACCTATCTACCACCGCACCGTTCGTTTTGTCTCAAATTAATTTTCAATTTTGTGAGGTTGCCACAGTGCATCCCCCTTAAAACTCATGTAAATCCATACTTTCTCACGGCTGAATTTTAATCACCACTAAAGCTTCTGCGAATATCGTTCAGTCAATTCACAACTTGCCACTAATCTTGTCAAGGGAATTGTGTCAAAGATTTTGCTTCTTTAACTGTTTCCTACAAGGGTTTGTCCGTAATGAGAAATTTACATGTAAATTTTTTATTGCTTCATGTGGAAGTGCTTGAAGAGCTGATTTCGAGGTATTTTTTATACTTTTTTCTGATATGGGAAATAGTATAAAAACAGATTTAAAAGTGAGAAAATGCATGCAGTCTTGTAGGAGCTATGCGTTTCACGCCGCCCGCTGCTGACCGCAGCGACCGCACTGTGTTTGACGCGATGCGTGAAGTATTCATGCAGTCTTGTAGGCGCTAATATTTCTTACATGCCGACAGCCGCTCCGAGGGTTTCTCCTTTTCATCTCAAGTTCTCGTCATCATTGCTCTCTGCGGCACGCCGTTCCAGGTTTGGTTTCTCTCATAGTCTTAACTGGACTAATTAAATGTGCTGTCTATTATATCACAGAAAGACGACAAAATTAGAGATATAATCTCAGGAAATGAGAAATTTGGTCACCTTTTCTCGTTTGTCATATTTTTTCTGAATTCGATTTTTCTTTATAGCTACATTTAAAAAAATTGCAAAATTTGCCGCCCCCTAAATTTGCCGCCATAGGCCGCGGCCCATGTGGCCACCCCCTAAATCCGGCCCTGTAGCAGACTAGATCATTTTGTCATATCTTCTCCAATAATTGTTCAATTCATGAACCAAGGGTATCCTCGTGTTCAGTTCACTCAGCAGTTTTCACCTAGACACGAAATTCACCAAACTTCAGACACCTGCTAATTCTCTCCATGCATTATTCACTATTCTACGTTTACTATTCCAAATACACCAATGAACTTAAATGTAAACTTAAACTTAGTAAAAAGTTATGTAATTACTTATAGTATTTAATTAGTGAAGTAATAATTATCCTACTCTCACAAGTCACATATGTTTTTTCCCGGATACAAATGTAGTTTTTGAAACAAATGCAAGTTCAATTTCACTCTTCTATCCAGATGAGTCCGCCCTTTGAATCGTTGAAACTTGATGTTGAGTACTTTGTAGGTCTATGGTTACCGTCCCGACACAGTAGTACGTAAAATTAAAGTACTGCTGTGACAGGACAATATCACAGCCGTACGGTCTCTGAAGATGAATCCTTAGTTCCTTTTCCGTCCTGTCGGTTTGTCCTCAAAGTTGGATGGTTGCGCAAAGATTTGCGCTCATTGTATTGTTTCACACGTATCAATCTGAAATTTAAAAAGAGAAAAAATTAGTTCTCATTCAAAGAATTGTATCTATTATATTTGCCTTGATGTTTATACAATTCGTCTGAAGAGCAGGCTAGAAGATTTGGTTTTAGACACAATAATTATTGTATTTTACGGCGGATACTGAGACGCAAATGTATAACTCAAATTGTATCTTGCTCATATTAGCAGCTACGTTTTTTTTCTTAAAAACCTATGTAGATGTAAACTTGTTATTCTTAAAAAAAAACAACCTATGTAGAAAATTAATTCTTTTTTAGGCTGTCTTCACTCTTATATTTATATTAAGTATGTTTGATATGCATCTCCGATTAATGTAATTTAAACTTGTAGTCTTTTCTAATACCCACGGTGTGACCCTTTCCTCCGGTTTTGTCAATCCTTTCAAATCATTCTTGAAAGTGTGCAATATTGTTTTTCCTCCATTCAACAATCGATAATCGGTCAGGCAGCCTGTCGTGACAGATTGCGATTGTGTCAGATACTTTTAAGCGCACTCAACTGCATGTTGCCGCCTGGAAAATAATGTTTCCAAATCATACCACTATTTAAGCTCTGTGGACCCGTGTTGCCTATTTCATTGAATGAAGGCGAATGTCTAAAGGTCGCCAATGATCTTTTTGATGCAGGCATTTTCTGTCAAGGAAAATTTGTAAAATAATTTAGATCGATTTTCTAAGTTTAAAGTTCTTTCTTTATCAGAGTCATCCTTTATCTTGATTGTAGGTGTGGTTTTATATCCTCGCCATCAACATTGACTCGTGTATTAGTTTAGAAGAAGTTCCTCAAAACTCACCGCAACTCTTTTAAAAAATGTGTCGTCTATGCTCCAAGAACCGTCCGAGCTCTAAAAAACGGCGGTTGTGTATGAGCAGCAAACTATCAACCTGCAACAAAAAAAGAAGAAAAAAAATGTACATTATTAAGTGTTTTTCACCCATAACATGTCTCTTTGTAAAAATGCACAAATGTTCATGTACACACGCTTACTCCAAGGAAATTGACCGCGTTTAGCAGAAAGGAACTAAGCCACATCAGCTATTGCCAAATCTAACTGGGCAATTTAATGTTTTATCAGAGAACATTTGTGCGGATTCCTTTGAAAATTTCAAGGAATATGCTTCGTACTATGCAGAAAATTTGCTGAAATTTGCATAAAAATCCGCGTAACTGTCTTTATGTAAAAAATTTGACTGCCCAGTTAATTTCGGCAATAGCTGACGTGGCTCGGTTCGTTTCCCCTGAAATGTAAAAAAGCCAATCGAAATCGGCTTTTTTTTCTCTGAAATTAAAATTATAAAGCATGTGGCGTTTGGGTGTCGCAGAACGCCAGAGTGCGTTGTAGAGCGACTTTACACATATACAATTATAATGCAGTATCCTAATAGATTGTTTGATTTGTTTGATTGCAGAGTGGGTATGGAGACCCTCGCCCCGCTAGAACACCACGACATGGCCGCGGCAATGCACGGGATGATGCAGATGAACGGGCTCACGCTGGGCATCGGGATGGACCCGCGGGTCCTCCACCTGAACAACGCCGTCAGCGCTATCTCCACGGCTCAGCCCACGCAGATCGTCAAAGTGAACGGGATCAGCTCGCATAGAGACTCGGTGCAGGCACAATCCCAGTCGCAGCCCTCGGCCCAGACCCAGCAGCAACCCCCGTCGCAGATAGCTACCTCGCAAGGGCTCCAAGTCCAGCTCAACGGCACCGGCTCGACGCAGAGTCAGATGCCCGGCAGCAATCAAGGGCTCGTTTCCGTCAACGGCGGAGGCTCCTCGTCCGGCAGGTCCACCCCCAACAGCAACGACCCCGCCTCCGCTAAGCTCTTCGTCGGCGGACTCAGCTGGCTCACGACCTCGGACAAACTCCGGCAGTATTTCGGCATGTTCGGCACCGTCACCGATGTTCTCATCATGAAGGATCCCGTGACTCAGGTTTGTTCTTTCCCAGTCGCGACTGCAATTTTTCATCAGGATTTTCTCATTTTTCATACTTCAATATTTTCTCATAATTTGACTTCACGGGAAAAAAAATTGCTGATTCAACAATTCAATTGCTAAAAACAGTGAGTGCAATGTTTCAACGCAGTTTTTACAACAAACAAATGCTACTTTAACCACATTGTAAACTAATTTAACCACAGGGGTGGTTAAAGTAGCACTTTTTTGTTGTAAATTCTGCGTTGAAACATTGCACTCACTGTTTTTAGCAATTGAATTGTTGAATCAGCAATTTTTTTCCGTGCAGTTGCGCTTTCAGTTTTTCATTTGGTTGTCCTTTCAGGATTTAATCATTTTTCATACTTCAATATTTTCTCATAATTTGACTTACATAAACTCTGTAGGTATTCTATGAAGGGGACGCCCGGTGAAAGGGTGGCGACGGGGAGTTTTGGATGAGATGAGGGAGTACCAACTCCCTGATGACTTGTGGGAGGACCGAGTTTTGTGGCGGTTAGGCGTCGCAGAACGCCAGAGAGCGCTGTGAGAGCGACTCTTATGTATGTAGGTATTCTATGAAGGAAAGCAGTGAGATTCTCTGGAGTCCTCAACCGTTCTTGATCAGACGAACGAATTTTTTTTTTTGTACCTTGTGCAACACATCTAATAATTGTCATTTGCACGATTTTAGCAACCGTGTATGTGAAATGTAAAATAAGCAATGAGCAATGAATTAGGTGAATTCTCTGTTGAAAAGGTTTTAACTTATGATATAATCCATAATTTGATTCCATCAATCAATTTGCTTTCGCTTTTTTCCTCCTAGGATTTAATCATTTTGAATACTTTGATATCGTCTCAAAATTTTACTTGCTCTAACTCATAATTCTATATCAAAGAGGCGTGAGATTTTCGAAAGTCATTGACAGAAGTTAACTGAGTCTTTGAAGAATCAAGTTTTCATTCATTGCACCTATTTACGTGTTGTTATATTTCATGTTGCAGAGGAGCAGAGGTTTCGGTTTCATCACGTTTGCAGACCCTGACACTGTAGAAAAAGTACTGAAAGTACCCATTCACACTCTAGATGGGAAGAAAATTGACCCAAAACACGCGACTCCAAAAAACAGGCCCAAGATCGGAAACCGTACGAAGAAGATTTTCGTGGGAGGAGTGAGTCAGGATACATCTTCAGATGAGGTAAAAGCATATTTCAGTCAATTTGGTAAAGTAGAAGAAACCGTTATGTTGATGGATCAACAGACAAAGCGGCATCGAGGCTTCGGTTTTGTTACTTTTGAAAATGAAGATGTAGTTGACAGAATTTGTGAAATCCATTTCCATACCATAAAGAATAAAAAAGTTGAGTGCAAAAAGGCTCAACCCAAAGAGGCTGTCCAACCCACTTTATTGTTAGGCAAAAGAATGCTAGTCAACCCGCTAGGCGTACGAGTGGCAACACCTGTAGCGAATGCTGGTTTGGTCGGTGTGACAGCTCAGGCTCAGGCAGCTGCAGCGGCTGCTGTAGCTGCTCAGAGTGTGGCTGCAAATTACAGCAAACTCCTCGGCTCGTATCCTAGTTTAGCAAGCTATCGTTATGCTCCATATCCTATTCCAACTTTACCCTCGACTCCCGCACCGGCTGTCCAGCAAGCATCGTCAGTCCCAACAAATGCTGGTGCTCAAGCGACATTACCCACGACCCCATATCAAGGTTATAATTTAGCCAATGTAGACATGACCAGTTTTCAAGGAGTCGACTGGAGTGCAATGTACGGAATGGGCATGTACGTCTAAAAGAGGCCCGAACCGTGGGGCAATTCTCTCTGTCAGCAATAGTGTTCTTTTTCCTCCCCTCACGTTTATTCAGTTCTTTTTTATTTTAAAAATATGATGTACATATTTCTCATTTAACTTTCATTGTTAGATGTAAACTGTTCTTGCCTTTTAAATTGTAAGTTTTTTCCAATTTTTGACATGAATTTATTACTCTTTGAGGGTCGACATTGCAGAATAATTTCGCCCAAATTTATTTTTCTGGGTAGTTCTACTCGTGGAGCAGAGTAGATACCAGTAAATATTTTATCTAAATCAGTATTTGTAGGAAGTGTCTTTCAGTGAGTCTAGAAGTAAAGAAAGAAAATATGAAGGTACTGGAAGAAAAGTTAATAGGTGGCAAGATTACTCTGCCCCAGAGTCAAGACTCTTCTTTTGAAATCAATTATTTTTGGCTCGAAGAATTCTGCCAACGTTTACAAAGAAGTAGAATGGAAGGGAAGTAATCCCTTTAAACATGTAAAAACGTTCGTCATTGGAATGATTCTGAGAACAATTTTTAGCCCATGCTAAAGAAGATTTTGCCAACTACCAGCCTCGTGCTTCCCCAAAAAAGCCATGAAATGGTTTCACCGGTTCTGTCAATATCATAATATGGAATTTTTTTATTTGTTTTTAAATTTTTTGTTAAATTTTCATGTACTCTAATTATCATTGAGAGCTGTCGCATCAAGAGCTGCTCTACCATATAACTGTTGCTCATTGATACTTTGGTCAAAATATTTATGTAATCAATTGAAAATTACTCTTTAAACTTTCTGAAAGCAATACTATTGCAATAATGACTTTTTTCTATCCCACTTGGATTTTTGAAAAAAGTTGTTCCCTCTCAACATAAATTGGTATTCCTAACGTCTTTTTTTTGTTCAATGTGTGTATCTTTCGTTTGACCCCTGTTTACAAATTTAAGGAGGATCTTACTTCAAAATTGCTGTTTTTCTTTTTTTTTAATATTTTTTTTACTTTCCAAACGTTATGTTGTTTTTTCTTGGTTTGGAATTGTCGAGAGAAATTAGCTTTGAATTCAAATTATTCTGAGCCTCAATTATCAAAACTTAACTATTTGAAAAATGAACAGTCCAGGCCTTTTAGTCCATAAAGTTGGGGACGCCTGGAAACTAACATGTCCATAAGTAATTTTGGATTTAATGATTTGTTTTCTTTTTATTGTACTTTACGTGCCATATCTGAGCAAAATAAGTACCATGAACTAAATTCTTGGAAGTGATGTAAATTTTTCCTAATATAATTAAACGAGTCTCCTTTTAATACTCTATGCCTGTGGTTTATCTTTTAATTTATGTTATTGCATTGGATCTCAGATTAGTTGTTCTATGATGTAAGTGTAAAACTCAACTCTTCCTCACTATTATCGTAAAAAATTTGTGTGTAAAAACTCACTACAGTCATCTCCCAATAGCTCAAATGTTAGTTTGAACAGAATTATAAGTGTAGCATTTTTCTTGCTTTATTATTTAATCGTTTTTTACTACTATAGTGAAATAAGCTGATGAGTACGCTGATTTCAATTTGCAAACCAGTCATCCACTCAAATGAAGCTGTACTCTATGAAACTTGTACACTCATGGGACTGTCATTTAAATTACAAGTCAAATTTCAGTAAGGATTCCTTCCTTTAATTCAAAGTTAACCATTTCCTTATCCACAGCCTGGTGGGTTGAGTTTTACTCTTTTTTTCATAGTTTAGTTACTCAATGACTTTGAGTTGAAATTTGTTATTTTTCAATTTTCGTCAACTTTTTTTACTCTTAGTATTTTTCCCTCTAGCAAGTAAGTTTCGAGTCTCAGATAGTCGAACAAATTACAAAGAACATGAATGAATGTTCGGTGACATCCTCGTACATGGATCTTTTAAATTTTTTTTCTAGTCACTCTTTTAATTTTAAAGTGAAATTTCCTTGCGTGATTAATTTTCTCTCTCAGTTTTTTATTTGACCTGATTTGTCATCTACCTTGAAGAATTACTTTTGCCGTTTTAAATCAATGTAACAGAGGATGCGGACCTCATCTCTGTGCAAGATGCTTTTACCTCTTTAAAAATTTTTCTCAACAAGTTTTAAGTTTTCATGCGGCAAAATCCTATGACATACCTAGTATATAACGTGTATATATGGTATATTTGTACATTTTTTGTTGTAATTTTATGAGCGCCTCCTCAAGTCAAACCTCTCCTTCAGTTTTTTGTTTTGTTTTAATGCTGATGGTAATAAATATTTTTGTTTTTCTCATTCAAGCATCATTTGTTTCCATTGAGTAATATAGCTTCACATGATAAATTCAGGTATCTACGAAAGCCTCAATGCTAAGCGTTCTTAGTATCTTTGGAGTTGTCAGATCTCGAAATATGAGGATACAGAGAAAGAATATTTTGTATCCTATTTAGCGCCCCTGTTTTCCTGTTATTCTTCAAGCATTTTCAAGTGACTGGCATTTTATGCCACTTTTCTCCTCAAATCTCTATAATCTTGTCAAGGTTTTTTTATGCAGTAAAACAAAAATAAAAAACAAATAATGAAAGTAAATTTTTAAAACCTCAACATTCCAATTTATTTTTAAAATGATCATGTGTATTAGATGTAGCATAAAAATTAAAAAACTCGACTGCAACTCAAGCATGGATTCAAGGGAAAAGTTTCAATTGTGGACCAAGAGGAACAATTTTTAACTCAGCACTTTGCTAAATTTTTTTTCTCATTTATTCGTTAGATTTTTACCTTTATTTGTATAATAAAATTCTCTTTATCATTTATTTAATTATTTTTTTCAGTGGAGATAAATAAAGCGACTTTTTAATAGGTCTCCAACTATTCATTTATTTGATACAAATGACATCACCTCTACTCAAAAGCATACATTTCTGAACTGATCTTTTTAATTTCTTCTTCATAACATCTTGATAGAAATCAAGAACTTAGTTCTTTTTCTACTCCCTTGTCATCTGTGATGACTATTTTCACTCAAATGCTGAAGCGTGCATTCTTGAAGCAACTCCATCGCCAATTGACTTGTTTATCGCCTATTCAATTCCTATGCAAGGATTCATTTTTTTTTTTTGTGATTTATTTTTATTTATTTATTCATTTATTATTGAACACAATACCATTAAACTATAAAAATAACTGAAAATAAATTTTATTTCCAGTTTTTTGTCCTGCATAATCCTCTAGATCATCTTTGAATGTTAAGATCTTAATCAAAAAACTACACACAGGCCTCATAAATACCCTCAGAAGTAATTTTCTGTAATTCAAATACCTATCAGCAAGATACCATTATGAAATTGATCAATTTTCTCTGGTACTTTTAGGGGTCCAGTTTGAAGGAAATACATTTTGAACACGCTTTGTAGGAGTGAGGTAATGGCCTGTAATTTGTTGTTCTATAGTTATTTTATCAACTCATGAAGTGCAGGACAATTTTTTTACAATCGTTCTGTAGAAACTTTAAAATTTAAAGAATTGAAAGTAGAGGCAGACTTTTAATTTTAAAGTCTCAAGAGCAAAATCAAAGTTTGAGTGAAAATCCTAGTAAAATGTAAAATGAAAAACATGTATTTAAAATCCCAGTGATTTTCCTTCAAATTTTACATCTCAAATTCCATATTATTCTGTTATTTTGGTGCATCACACACACACCTTTATATCACATTTGAATTCCCAGTTTCCTTCCTGAGTTTGCTTATGACCTTATACCAGTTCATTTGTTGATGTTATTTTTTAAACTTGTAATTAAAAAAGTGCATAATTTTATTTGCTCTCTTTGACAATACGTTTAAAGTTAAATTAAATAAGCAATAAGCTGATATTGGCTAACAATAACTCTACTTGTATATCATTATTTATTTGTAAAAACTATTTTTTAAGACTAATTATTTTGTACTTCAGTGTTCTCAAATCTTTACCTTCTTGAATTGAAAGTTTTAGCTTTCCAATTCAAGTTTTATGCTATTTATTTTCTTATCAGGTAGGTGTGCGAACATTTTAGTGTTTTGCTCATTACATTTCATTTCCTTTTTTATCCAACGTCTTTGATTTAGTTGCCATCTCAAAAATATCCTGTTCAGTCAATATATTGATTTCTTTTTGTTTTCTCTTGAAGACTATGGCATACCAACGAATTTATACTGTTGTTCTACAGGATACAGGATATTGGCATTGTTTCATCTCTTCTCCCTGACACAGTAGTTTTTTTACAGAGTCCCCCAACATCCACGTTAGAGAAACTAAAAAATGCCTGAAGAGTTGGAAATATTTTTGAACTGGATTAGTTACATATATTTTTTTTTAGTTGGGATTTTCATATTCCTTTGTAGGTGTTTAAATGATGAAAATGTAAGTGAAAGAACTCCCTCTATTTTTGTAACACTGTCGGTTCTGTACTTATTTTATTATCAAATTGAATGTTATGAAATAAATTGTTTATTGAAATCAAAAATCAAAAAAATATATATTTATGCATATGTATGTATATGTATTGATAAACCCACACATCACCTTCCTTTCCGCAATTATTTTAATGTATTCCATGTTCATGTATTTGCTCCATTATTGAGTTTTTTAATGTTACTTAAAAATTCGAGAGTATTAGTAGTACCAGTTTGTTTTGGAAAGCTCGAATTTCTTACCCGTATCAATATAGTTGCTCATTTTTCTCTTCACAATTTTACCTCCCCTCCCCTTAATTTGGCTCTTTTTAGAGTCATTTTCTCTCTTCTGTTTCAATAAAATTTAACGTAGATATTTACTTACTTTTCACAATAGCTGAGTGTTCACCATATTTCTTAATCTTTACTGTGTAAAATTTAAATCTAGATTACTTAGTCGGTGTTTGTAGTTAATTTGTGTGTGTAGCTGTAGTTTTAAACATCTTGACTACGTATGTACTTGCCAATGTACTTAAATTTCATCATTTGCACTGTAGACATGATTAATAGTTTCGTTTTAATCTTGGTCTATATATTTTTCTGCTCTTTTCTTAGTTCATTAGTTTTTCTTTTTTTCTAATTTGTTATTTTTTTTTTCTCCTTTTAATATAATCAATTAAAACAGATAAATTAGAGTTATTATTCTTTATTCTTATTTTTTTACTGCATTTCACAAGCCTTACTTTATCCTTCTCATGAACTAAAAACCCACTCATATCAGTTCATTTAGTTCTTCACAGTTCCAACAATCATTATTCGTAGTGCCGAATTAGTATCCCTGCTCCGAGTTCAAATTGGAAGTATCTCAATGGTTTTCTTTCGCTAGTTAAAGGGCAAAACACAAGCTCCGATATTTGTGTAGAATAGATTTTCTTCTTCTATGGAATACTCTTGGAAATTTTGTTAAATGTCTTTGAGCACATCTAAAAAAAGATAATAGATAACCTTTTTTTCTTCTTTTTTTCTGCCGTATCAAACTAATGGCAGGCAAGAATCTCATCGGCTATTACCTACTAGTTCATCAACATTTTTATGACTAACGTTCATAACCATGAGAAATGTTAATGAAGCGAGGGCTTCAACATAACTTTTCATAGTTTTTTTTTCTCTTGATTCAATCTCCTCATTTTTTGGTCAGTTGGCGTATATTAGCTTAATCAAGATCCACCGTGACAAGTAAAGCTAGGTTCGTTGCATACTTGCTTTGGACTCTAGTCTATTGCTTTATAATTTTATCCATCTAATTCTTGATCCATTTTATGGTGTATGTAGGTACTCAAGTAATTTGGTATTCCAGCTTTTTATCAATAATTAGTCATTCATCTGAATTAAAAAAGAATCTAGCAGTTACTCAATGTCTCAGTTGCCTTCCTCTTCTTGTCTTGAGCCTCGGTAGATGCACTTGAAATAATACCTACTAACCTTTCGTTATTTATCTCATTTTTGTTTATCCTGATTATGCTTTTAAAGTTCTTTAAGAAATAGCCCTTTAGGACTCTAGATCTGTAGACCAACCTGCTTTTCCCCTAAATAGCGTATTCCTTTGTCTTTTGATGAAAAGGGCCTCTTCAGTGGCGCTTACTTATTAGAGCAACGGGAAACTTAGATCAGAAGTCGGTGAGCAGGTTTGAAGGAAAAAATTCGCCAGTATTAATTCAAGCTTGGATGCTATTCACAACACTGGTATATTTTATCAATCAAACCAGTTTGCCCTATTTTTTTATTTTTTTTTTTCTCTCGAGTTTGTCGTAATGTAGCAAGTGCCCTCTATTTTGACTGTGGAACTTCTGAGTTCACAGACAAATTTTGAAAAATTCATTAAAATAAGCAATATTTAGATGCATAGGGTTTAGTATAAACAATTTTTCTACTTAAATCCGCCCCAGCTTGACTGAATCTGTAAAATTTAATTTAAATGTTCTGACGTACGATGAAACTTTTCAATGGAGAAAGCAAAGATAGGCCTGCTACATGTAGTCGGGAAAGGCTGCAGTGAATTTTGTTGAATTTCCGTTGTACCATCTCTCTTTGCATTTCTCCTGAAGGATTTCATCAAATTAGCAACGTGGATGCATTGCTAGAATGGACTACATTTTGGATTTTACTACTTCAGTTTAACTGGGAAAGACTAAAAGTAGGTATGTCTTCCTTTCAACTTGCAAGTAGTTTAATTAGGTAAGGTCTCCCATTTGAATAAAACACAAGTAATAAAACCTGTTTTTGTACTTGCTTTTATTAACAAAGAAGTATTTTTACAGTATTTCTCTTGTGTTCCTTGTTAGTTCGATAAGTTTATGAAATCAAAATAATCTATATAGACACATTTAAAAACTGTTGGTTTCTTAACTTGCCTAGATAAATTTTAAAAATGATAATCAGTTGACCATTATACTTATTATTTTAAAAACAAAACTTATTATTCGTGGTGAGTGGGTATTTTACCCACTGCTATAATTTTTTTGCCTTTCTGCATCAATATCTGAACCTCATCAGAAACCAAAGGAACACTTGAAAGTAGAAACAATTTGCAAATGTTTCCAAGTGATAAGATATTCTGTTTGCTATCCCTCACTCTTTTTTTTTATTATATTAATGAGTGCAGCATGCCAGAATTTCACTGAACAAATTGCAAGTGATTTTAAAATTTTATCTAAAGGGAGGAAAGGATAACCTAACGAATACAGCAACTTTCAAATGCTTTTCCATTTCCTCTAGGACATATTGTGGTCTACTTTCTTGTAACGGTCAACCTTCAATCGATATGTTTGAAATGAAAACAAAGAAATATTTTACCTTCATCGCCTTTAATTTAAACATAGTTCAAATATCTATCCTCATGCAAAAATTAATCCAGACGAGAACATTCAGGCAGTAAATTTACTTACAAACCACGCAATCTAAATTTCTAAAAACGGAAAAAAAATAAGGAAAATTAAGTGAAATCCATTAGTTTTTAGATAGATACCCAACTTAACACATCCTTAAATGTAGGTACTCATTTCTCCTAATTGTCGTAACAAAAGCATAGCTTAAGCTTTACCATCAAAATTTCATGAAATATCTCTTTCTAAGATATGGTTTTCTCAAAAGAGAGAATAAAAAGTTAAAGAAAAAAGTAGAAAGAAAGAAAAATGAAAAACATAAAACTTCATGTACAGTAAGTAGATTTTTACTCGACTTGACCTCCTTATTTTATCTGATGGCAAACCGACAAAAGGCATTTATTAAATTGAGGTACATCAATTGAACATTAGGATCTCCGATTTTAAGTAGTTGTAGCATTATTTCTTCTCTAGGGAGGAAACAAATACCCTCTTTTCTACTGTGAATACTCTGTAGGCGGTACAATTCACGTGAAATTTAAGTGTAGCTGTGAATTTATCCAGAGCGTTATTTGTGTAGTGCCTTACTCTGATAAATCATAAATCGGAGAAAAACTTTCAAGTAGTCAAAATATTTTTTGCCTGCATTTTAATTTTTTTCTCTTCATGTGCTTTGTGTAATACATACTGTGGATTCATTTATAGGTACTGTAGCAACGTAGAACTAACCATTTTTCTCTTCTCTGCTAACAATTTCATCCAGGTAAGTTTTTATAAAATTTATTTTGATCAATCATCCAAATCTACAACACTCTGTTTGTCTTTCTCTGTCTTCCCCCTCCGCTGCTACTTTCTCACTGGTTGCTATAAGGGTACCCTTTTCATTTGTATAGCGGTAGCAAATACTTTTTTCCAGCAAATAAATCTGTGTTAGATGATAAGAGCAAAACAACCGAACTAGTCCTCTTCTCCCCTGGCCGGGCTGTTAAGACGAAAATATTATCCATCACAGATACGTATATCATTAAAATGAAATCACCAAGATAGACTTTTGAATTAACTCAGAATTTCCTCCAATCTTCCGCCTCTTATTACGAAAAATATTTACTGACTGTTTTTTTTTTCCTAAGAAAGGGATTTAACTCCAACGGTTTTTTTATATTCGGCACACTTGTACCAAAATTATTAATTACACATACAAAATCGACATGTTGATGATGAAACTTAAAATATATCGACCCAATAGCGTCGTTTCACATTTTCCGTTCACATTGAGGTTTTTTAAGAGAAAAATATCAGACATTCTTCATAATATTTTCGAAAAGGGTAAAAAAGGCTTTGTACATAAAATTTGTACTGTCAGTCGATAAGCGATTATCGTCCTTCAAAAAAATTGGACATAACTAAAAGTGTTCAACATTGCATTGTTTTTCCAGGTTCACCAGGCTTTGTACTCATCCGGATAACAGCTAACTTATGTTGAGTATTTTCAAATGTTAGCAGGGAGAACTGACTTTTTACCTGTCTAAATAACATTTCTGACATCAGGTTTCGTTAAGACTTATTGTTTACGTAATTGCATTTGTTACATGATTAAATTGTACTTGTTGATACTTAAGCTGTATATAAGTTTGTAAATAGGAAAATAGGACGCATTTAAATCAAAAGGAACCATCTGCATTTTAACATTAGCCCTGTCTTGCATATATTATCATGGGTATCAGGGCGTTTGTCATATTGGAGATAGTTCCTTTTGATGGAAATACGTCCAATTTTTGTTTTTAGTAGGTATTAATTCAATTAAATCAGATTTTGTTTCAATATGTTAATTTCTTGTTGAGAAAATATTCGGTTTTCATTAGGTAAGTTCTGAATTTTCTTTTTTGTATATATTTATTTCTCTTTTTTTTCTTTTTAATTACTTTTAATTACTTAGTGCTCTGAGCATTTGTGAATCTCAAGTACCTACGTATTTAATACTTATTTAATTTGATACAAAACAGAAACTGACGCTTCCAAAAATCTAGTCATTGATAAATGTATATACTCTATATTATCAAAATAACAAATGTATTAACGTCCCCCTCTTAAAAAATAAACTTTTATACATCGTATGAAAAACATACATATTTAAACCTAGCTTTTTTATTTCGACAAAATTCCAAAATTTCCTAATTTACCAATATAGATCAATACCCAAGTACCTACGTTCTTTTCTCCCCTCTTTTTGTTGGTGAGAATCATCAATATATCAAGATTTTGTAAAATGTGAATTGGCTCTGTAGATCCATCAAAAATGTCTCAGATCAAATTACAAGCAATAGGCAATTACTTTAGTGTGCGCAATTAATTACACAGTCTTACAATTGCACTGATCAGGAAGATGAAAAAAATTGCAAGAGGCTTAAGGCCTCTCAAGATGACTTCAGTTATTTTTGGCTCAACTACAGTTATTCTCATGTGAACTCAAAATTTGAAGTCCCCTCCCCCTACAGTTCAGATCTTGCACCCTTCAATCCCTGACTTTTTCCACAGTTGAAGGAGTGCCCTAGAAAAATTAATCTCAGGTCAAATTACGAGGTAAGGCGAGCAGTTCAGACGTAGCTCAAAGTGAATTAATTTCTTGAATTTTTCGTCAGAGGATTTGAAATATGGATGCTACGCCGGCGCAAATGGATAGACCATAACGGAGACTTCGTTTAAAAAACAACGTTGATTTTTATTCTGTTTATCTTAAACTGCGTTTTCATTTTTCATTCGGTAACGTATCTCATTTTTGACCATTTACAGTATGTACCATTGAGGCAGTACATAAATGAATCATAATTGCAGGTTGAAGAATCAAAGGTGTACATCAAGAACAAACTTCAGGTCATCGTAAACAGAGGAGAATAGGAGTCAAACCGAACGTCAGACCCTGGCGGCGCCTGACTCAAGCGGGGATACCACTATTCGTGTTCCTGTGCGGATTGTAGTATAACCGATCGTTTGAAGGCGAACTAAAATAGCTCTCAATAAATTGACAGCATGATGCTTTTTGCTTCGATCCCGTTGTGTCTTTCCATTCATGATTATCCACATCCAGGTTAATTTTGAAACTTTAAGGCACTTAAATTGAATTCCAGCATGGCTAACAAATTCAGAAAATGCGACGCTAAAAATCTCCGCCCCTGTTTCATATTTTTCAGAAGAGAGCTGACCAAAAATTTTCTGCAAGTTGTTTTCTTTCACTTTTAAGTATTCAAAAAAAAATGCAAGGAGATATCAATAGCCAAAGTTCAAAACCACGTATCCTGCCGTGCTGAAGAAGAACGCCGTAAGAAAATTCGATAGTTGCCAAATCGCCCCAGATAAAACATGGATTTTTTAGAAAAGTTGTGCGTATTTTTCCATGATATTTTCAGACATTTTAGACAAAATTGCGAACAAAATTGTGTGGAAAAATTAAAGAAAAACATTCAAAACTTTCCCAATAAATTAGGTCTTTATTGAAGGAAATGTGGCAACGTCTGAAGGTCCATACGGCGTTCTTCCTTAGCACGGCAGTATTTGCGATAGGTACTCAATTTCAATCTGATTTTAAAACTTCCATGGTTTTGCTACGCTGTGGCTGTGCGCGGCAAATTCTGAAAAGCTTCAAGAAATGGTGAGCGTTGATTTGTTCTCTCCCTCCCCTCCCCCCCCCCCCCCCACAATAATAAAACCAGAGTGGAGATTTTTAAACACCGCAAATAAATTACGTGGGAGTTTCACCGTCAAAATGGTTTGTTTCCCTCTAAGAGTAAAAAAAATTACGAGGGCTTTAAAACGTGGCAATTAAATAGGTAGGCGTGTTTTCAGGACCTGAACGAAACGTCGACCCGGGGAGGGTTTTAAAATAACGGAAGAAAGAGATCTGTTTTCGGAATTATTTGGACGCATTTATGCTAAAAGGAACTATGTGCATAGGATTTGCGTGCAAAATAGTTCATTTTAGCGTAAACGCGTCCATTTAAAAGGCAAGGGCCCGATTTCAAAGGCTCTTTGAGAGTGGCGTAAAATCCGTCTGAAATCTCACTTTACATCCGTGCCGCAATGCATCACTGCTTTATTCTGCCGTACTGAGGAAAAACACCGTATGAGCCTTTAGATGTTGCCATATTTCCTTCAATAAAAGTCCTGCAGTTTACCGGGAAAACTCGATTTTTTTCTCTCAAATTTTTCGGACAATAGAGAATTTGCAGGTGTCTGAAATTTGATGAATTTCGCATTTAAGTGGAAACTGCTGAGTGAACTGAACACGAGGATGCCCTTGGTTCGTGAATTGAACAATTATTGGAGAAGATATGACAAAATGATCTAATCTGCTAAAATACATGTGTTTAAATGGGAAATGCCACCATATGACGTCACTAGGCGGTGCATTTTCTCAATTTTAAATCTATTTTTATACTATTTCAAATAGTATAACTGTTTCCCATATCAGAAAAAAAGACATTATTTTTAACACATATCATTACACGTATCATTTTTAAGACATTTATTTTTTTCAGAAAAAAATTATAAAAAACACTGCGAAATCAGCTTTTTAGCACTTGCAGATAAAGCAGAAAAAAATTCGCATGCAAATTCTCCATTTCGTTCGCGATTAAATCCAAAATATTTGAAACCCCCTACAGAAACTGTGAAAAAATTTCTTCACAAATACATTCCTCATTCGAGGAAATTTGGCAACTCTCGGATTTTTATACGAGGTTTTTCCTTAGGACGGCAGTGCTCCTGTTTGCTCTCGGTGAGGATTTTACCAGTGGCGTGGCGTGAATTGCGATTTATCGAGTGTTATGCCATTTGAACCTATGGCACAGAATCGATTATTAAGGTGTTCGCTGCGAACACCCTGTTTATCGATCCTTTTCCATAGGTTTAAACGGCATAGCAATCGATATATCGCAAAGCACGCCACGCCACTGGATTTTACCTACTTCGGCCGGGATTCGGCACCGGGGACCGGCAATACGGGTTTAAACGTTCGCCCGCCAGAATGCGTGGGCGGCATCTAGCTCTAATCAATAAACGCTGCGTGTATCGTCATGCCGCTTCCTTCAGCGTGCTTACTCGATCCCCCGTCCTGATCAGCTGTGCAACTAACAGCAGCTCGGGTCATGGAAGATTTCGAGACTGGTTTTATTACTCAAGTAGCATATTTCAGCGAAGAAAATGCGGTATTTTTTAAAGGAGAATTTGAATGAAAATTTGTATTGCTTTATCTGAAAGTGCTGAAAGAGCTGATTTCACAGTAATTTTTTATAATTTTTTCTGATATGAGGAATACTATAAAAACAGATTTAAAAGTGAGAAGGTGCACCGCCTAGTGACGTCATATGGTGGCATTTCCCATTTAAACACATGTATTTTAGCAGATTAGATCATTCTGTCATAAGTACCTATCCTCTCTAATAATTTTTCAATTCATGAACTAAGGGTATTCTCGTGTTTAGTTCACTCAGTAGTTTCCACTTAAACTCAAAATTCATCAAATTTCAGACACCTGCAAATTCTCTATTGATTTTATATTTTGCAAAACCAAGTATTTTGGTCTGAACGTCTCTGAAGGTAGGTAACGCAGATGGAGAGACGCAAACGAACTTGACTGAATTTCGCAATTAAAAACTAAAATTTCTGGCTCATCCTTAAAAAAAAGATGTAAGTAGGGAAACCGATAGTACATACGTTATTTCTAAACTGACCCAGAAATTGTAGTTCCTAATTTCAAAATGAGGTTCAAGACAGCACTAAGCGAATCAGGAGACTAACTGGTCAGATTTGTTCATGAAAGAAACCTTTCTAATATCGGTATACCCAGCGTTAATTCAGAGTGTCTGGTTAAAATTTGACTGACGTCAAACTTTCTCGTCCAACAAAATTATCCTGCATGGTTGAAACACGAGGGAGATCTGTGGAGACCTGCAACTAATCATTGAAATTGGTAGACAAAGCGATAGACAAATAAGACACAGGGGAAATTGAGCATTCCTGTTACCGGAGGCGGGTGATCGCAGTGAACAAAGTGGAATATGTGATAGACTCTGACTAACGGCAACCATCGAGAGGTCCTGTAACGAAGTTGCATTTTTCAATGGGAAAATCGCGATATTATTATTAAATTGTGATTTTGTTACGATTTTTTGGCGATACAATCCGTAGAATCATTCACATGCAAGCGATTATTCTCGATCTTGTGGCAACTTTATCTTTATAAAATCGTGCTTGATAAAATCGAACGTTTACCTCAATTTATCACGATTTTTGGTTTGATAATATGGATCGTATTCGATACATCAAACAAGTGAGATCTCATCGATGTCGATTGGTTCAACATGTGAGCACAGCCTCAGAAGTCAATTGAGTACCTAATTTTCAAGGACAACGAGTGTTTTTTCATTCTTACATGAGTACCAAATGACAATGCAAAGTGGAATTTTTGGGAATTTTCCCAATTTCAGCATTTCTAACTTGAATCCTAAAATTTTGTTCGAGGTTTTGGTCTATTGTTTTGAGCTGAACGATACATCGAGCCACTATCAAACACGATGCGTTGCGGTAAATCGCCGTCGATGGAATCGCGACTCTATTGCAAATTCATGGGATAAGATCGCAATTCATCCCAATTTTGTATGGGATAATATTAAAATAGATCAACGTCTACAAAATCGAGGTACATTCTGTGATCAAATCGCAACTTATCACAATCACTGCTACGTGGGTAGTTAGTCCATTATTTTCTCCCTTAGTCCATGGCAACTACCCGCGCGTCTCTACCAACAGGATCGCTGCATTTCCCCTTCATCTTTGTCTATAGCTTAGACTATCAATTTCAATAATCAGCCCTCAGGTAAAACTCATCGAGGGCGGGTCGTCTTTGAAAGCAAGATGAGAGAGGAGATAACAGAAGAGGGCAAAAAAGCGCGATAGGAGGAGGGGCTGGGCTAGTGGAATTAGTCGATAAACGAGAAGATCTGATGAATAAGAGAGATCATTAGATCAAGGGTGTGGCTCCGACACCACCCATGGATGTTAGGCACACGCAGCCCCAGTTGACAGTTTCGTGGGGTAGGAATTTGGCGGCCATGGAAAAGCGAGAGCTTTGCGCCACCATGCCACAACACCGCTTTTCCGGATGAAGTGTCCGTGTCGTTGTCGCTCTTCGTGGTGGCGACGACGGCCAAGTCTCAGCATGGTTGCCAGATTGTGATGAAATGTCCATGTTTCACACTAAGTCATAGGGAGAAGTGTTCGTTTGTCAGCACAACCCGGCAGCCATGGCAGCAGCATGGGGTCTCGTTTCGTCTCGTCCTTTCCGTGGCCATAGGGTCGTATTCTATGTCGTTCCCATTGGCGGACCCAGCAATTTGGCAACACCAAAGAATTTTACTCGGAGTTCGCAAAAATTGTCTAGTATATTAAAATTATATTTTCAAGGCTTCCTCAAGTATTCCTCAATTACGATGTGAACCATAATGGACACGAAGGAAATAATTTGTTTAACCCTTAAATGCCCAGCGGACTAATTGTTGAAATTGATTGACAAAGTGATGGACGAAGACGACATAGTGAGTATTGAGCGATCCCATTGGTTGGAATGGGTGATTCTTATAGACTAAGGGAGAAAATTATTGACTAACTATCGGGTCACTCGAGGGTTGCCGATAGTTAGTCTATTCCCTACGTCCTTTGTCCATTGCAACAACCCGCTTCCTCTAATAGGATCCCTTCATATCCTTTTTGTCTTCCTTGTCTATCGCTTTGTCTATCAATTTCAACAATCAGCCCCCAGGCACAGGCTGGATAAAATTAACCCGCGAGGCTTGCTAAAAATACGTGCGTTTCGGATTTTAGGAGGCCGGTACATAGGTAGGAACTTCAGATAAAGGTCTACAAATACCTCCTAATAAAAGAATCAGACATCAAATTGAAAAAAATAAAATAAAACTGTCGAGTGTCAACATGTCCGAAGATAGGAGAAACGCAATCGAGACTCCTTTTCAAACTTTTTTCCCGAATCTGAGCGACACCTCTTCTTTGGCAGCACAGACCGGAACATTCCACGTTCACACGTCGCGTCGCGCCATCGCTCGCGCCTTCAATTTTGCAGATGCAACACGGACGTCCATCAAGCATGAATAGTTGTATCTCTGCGCCGTCATCAACGCGCGTCCTTTTCCTTGCTCTATTTCCATGATATGTCTGCCGTGCGAAGGAAGAGCGCCGTATGAGCCTTAAGACGTTGCCAAGTTTTTCCGATAAAAATCGAAACTACTGGGAAAATTGTGAATATTATTTTCCAAAATTTTCAGACAATTTTGTACGTAATTTAATCTTAAACATCCAATGTCAAAGACAAATATGCATGAATGTCGTTAAAAGTACATGTTTTATGGAGGGTATTTTGGCAACTCTCGACGTTCATACGACGTTCTTCCTTATCACGGCAGTATGGGCGACGTCTGGTGTAGTCAGAGACGAGAGACGCTCCATCGGTATCTTGGCAATGGTATGGAAGCTTTTACTTTCAACTTTCAGCATTGGGACTCCAACATTCAACAATTGACTTACCTTAAAGGTGGATGTTGAGCAACGTGCTGGACATATCGTTTAGCAAACATACCGAAGTTTCGTAAACTCTTTCGGCTTACTACGCCATCCGCAGCTCATTATCCACCTAGCAGGTATAATGACTGCCGCTCCCTTACATTTGTCCAAAGTTTTGAATTCCTGAAAGTAAAAGTTTCCACCTGTCACCAAGAAGCCAGTGGAGACTGGAGGGTCCCTTATCTCGGATCCTATTTTGAGGAAAGCTCCATAGGGGTCAGCGCTCCCCCCCCCCCCCCCCCCCCCCCCCC